CACACACACAAAACCTTTAAAAAGAAACTTTCCAAGAGTTCCAAGCTGCAGTTAAAACAAAGTGAGTAACGTGAGACTCGGTGCCGGAGCAGAGTGGAAAGAACACGGAGTCCGAGTGACCTCCCACGAGGCCACCCAAAAAAAAAAAATAAAAAAATATAAAGCTCCCTGCTTCTGTTGGAGCCCAGAGAGCCACATCATCCCCCTCCAGGGGTGGTGCAGGCCATAAATCACGGATAAATGGCAAATAAATGGAAGCGAAGGGAGGGGGAGCGAGGGGACGAGGAGAAATCCCGAAAGGAAATGACCTTCCCCGGCACGAAATAGGGGATTGCAAAGGGTTGGAAGGGGAAAGGGAGGGTGAGGAGGTGACACATCGGCCCCTTCAGCTCGAGGGGTGGCCGGGGAGGTGACAGGGCACAAGCACACGGTGAATTTTGGGCAAGGGACGCGGCGAAATCGTTGTTGGCAGGACACGTCCAGGAGAAGGGAAAGAGCGCGGCCACAAAGCTCCAGAGGGAGGGAAAGGAGCCTCAGATCCTCTGGCTGCTCCGAAGGGACACAGCCTCGGGTTGCACGGTCATATTTTCCAGCCAAGAGCAAAGTTCTATTAATTCCTCCAAGCCCTCACTTGCCTCAAGATGTCATCATAGGAAGGGTTTGCAGAGCAGCAACATCCTGTTCTCCAACACTCCCATCACAGCCAGGCCTCTATCCCTTTATTTATAGGGAAAAGGGGAAGGAGGCAGAAGCCAATTACTTCGGTAATTACCTAATTACTCCAAGCACTCCCAGCCCACCCCGTCTCCCCTCTGGAACAGCTGCAGCTGAAGCTCCCACCAGTAGCTTGTCCTGTCACAACTCACACAAAGCTCTTCCTCCCACCTCCCAGGGCCAAAATTCCCTGAAATTCCGTCGGTTTAAGAAGCTCAGAGCGATCCCTGCTCCCAGAAATCTCCGGGACAAGGGTTTGCCACGGGGCTGGTTGGCTGGAGGAGCCCAAATGGGAGATGATGGGAGGGCTGGGGACAACCTGCCTGCTCCCAGCAGACCCACTGCCCATCCCAGGCTCCTTCCCACCTGGGATGCCCTTGGGAAGTTTGTCCTGCCCTGTCCTGCCCAGCATCCAGTGCAATCAGGAGTTGGGGGGATGTTCTTCACCCCCTGGTGTTCTCCTGTGCCAGAACCAGCAGCCAGGACCAGGACACACACCACCGGAATGTTTCCCTTTCCCTTCCCTCCTCTGGCTCTTGCTGGGAAGAGGGAAAAGGTCTGGGCACAAACTGGGGATCCTGGAGCTCCCCAAACCCCAGGGATGGAGCTCAGAGCTGGGACACCTCGGGCAGGTTGCTCAGGACAGGTGTCCAGGCAGGCTCTGAGCATCTCCAGGGATGCAGATCCTCATCCCTGGATTCTTGGGGATGGTCCTGTGTGGGGCCAGGAGCTGGATGTGACGATCCCTGTGGAATATCCTTCCAGCTCAGCACCTTCTGTGCCTCTGTGACCTCGGTTTGACCATCCCCCCCATCAAAAATGTTTGTCCTTAAAATTTTTAAGTGGGATTTCCTGGATTTGGGTCCAAATCCACCAGAGAGGATCCACTTTGCTCGTGGAGGTCGACGGATGCCAAAATCCCACTTTCCCAATTCCCAGGATGGGTCTTGTCCCCCCGATCCCCCAAACCAGGAGGCCACAAGCCCTTCCAGGGAAGATGCAGACGGATGTGAAACAGAAAAAAAAAAAAAAAAAAATCTTTGGAGACCCAACTCTTTTTATTACGGGAGTCTATAAAATAGCCACGTGGATTATTTATTTTGGGTTGGTTTTTTTTTTTCTTTTATTTTAAGATCACAAAATACACAACATTCATTTTAATATGCAACACATAATATTATATACATATTAAAAACCACATGACTGAAACACATGTTCACACGGCACCGATTTCATAATGAAAAACCCCACAAGTGCTTTTTTCTTTTTTTTTTTTCTCCCCTTAATATTAAAAACAAATGCGATAAAACATATTAATAGTTTTTTTTTTTTTCCCCGGACAACGTTTACAATAAAGAGAAAAAAAACAATCATATTTTACTACATAACAACTATTTAACAGCAAAACCTTTGTACTAAATATCTATTTTGACTTATAACAAAATAGTACTTATAATAGTTTATAAAGACAGACCAAAAAAAAAAAAAAAACCAAAAAACAAATTTGTGTATAAAATAATATTATAGCAAATTGGACTGTGCTAAGAAAAAAAAAAAAACAACAACCAAAAAACAAACAATTCTGAGATTCAAAGTGCTTTATTCTGCAAACCCACTGCAGCAACTTTTTTTTTTTCTTTTTTTTCTTTTTTTTTTTTTTTTTTAGTCAAGTTATATTAGTTAGGAATGGAAAAAAAACAAAGCCTGACTTAACTTCTGCCCGGATTAAATACTCACCCACACAAACATTATATATACACATGATGTAAATATATATATAATGGATGTCTGCATCTTACATTACCTCTCTCCAATCAACCACTCACTCAAAAGCAATGTTTGGTTTTCACTTTGTAATGACCTTGGAAGTTAAAAGAAAAATTTCAGCCAAACCTTTTTCACTGGTTCCCCACCAGAACAAGCAGGACCGAGCCCTTCTGGAAAAATCTACCCCAGAGGTTTTGTTCTCCGGAGCTTTAACCAGACCTTCTAAGCTTGTTGTTCCCTTTCTCCAGCTTTGCCCTTTTCCCGGCCTCCTCTATCCCAAGGGTGGGTCTCAGATGGAAAAGGGGGATCCTGGAGAGCACCCGGTGATGGGTTTTCCCCCTCTGGACCATCCACCTCCTTCCCTCGTCCCCAGGTCCTGCCAGAGCTCATCTTTGGTCCCCAAAGACCAAGGACACCTCCACTGCCATCGCCTCTCCCGAAATGTTTGTCCCTGGGAGATTCCCCCCCTTCCCACTGGGCTTAGGTTTGTGTTTAATCCCTTTGGGACTTTGGCTGCCATCCTTTTATCACCGGGAAAGTTTTCTCTCCGTCGGGGACAAGGAAACGCCTGAAATCTCAGCTGGTGGCGTCCCACTCCGAATTTCCAGCCTGGAAAAACCAGCCGAGCCTCTGCCTGAGGGATTTGGTGCACGCAGAGGCTCCTGAGACCTTCCTTTTGGGTTGGCTGTGTTACCACCCCGAAGGCAAGGTCTGGATGGGAATGGCATCTCCTGGAAGATTTGGGGGGTTTCTTTCGGGTTAAATCAAGCTGAGCACCCCGTGGTGAGTGTGGAAATGATCCACTGGGATGCTCCTGGGAGGGGGGTGGAATTTGGCAGCTTGGCTGACGGCAAATCCGACCTCAAGTGCTTCCCTTGGCTCCAAACCTGCCTCCCTCCTCCTGGCCCCCACCAAGGGCTGGCAAGGGCAGCCTCCCCAGCGCTCCCTTCACACTTCCCTTCGACCTTCCAAAGAGGCACAACCCGCAAAGCCACCTGGCAAACCCACACCTGCCCCTTCCCCTTCCTTATCCCAACCCCTCGGACTTCTCTGGACACCTCTGGAGCTGAAAGCCAAGCTGCCCACCCAAGGGCCAGATCTCCTCCCATCACGGCCAGGAGAGGTCTCGGCCACGGTCCTTGTGTTGTCCTTTCCACCTCGGAGGGAAGGGATGGGATGGGATGGGATGGGATGGGATGGGATGGGAGTGGGGCTGGACAGAGCTGCCTCAAGTCCAAGAGGGATCTCCCAGCCCGGTGCTTGGCTCTGGTGTGAACCAAACACCCGCAGAGACACTCAGGGGGCTTTTCTTCCCCTTCAACACAACCCACCGACCTCAAACTCGACCCAGAAGCCTCTGGCATGCAAGAAATGGAACTCAAATAAACCCAAAGCTGAGATACCTCTCGGTGGCCGCTCTCTTGTGCCGGAGAAGCTTTGGGCAGGGCCCTCCTCCTGGGCTAGCGGTGGGATGGGGCGGACACGGAGCCCCTCTCCTCCCTGCTGAGCTCTGCCATCACCAACCACAACCCAGACACGAGACAAGCAGTGTGTGTTGGCTTATTTAGAGGGATCATCTTCCATGCCAATGCCTCCTGTGGAAGAGGATGCACCCAAAGGAGCAGCTTGGCTTTGCTCAGCACCCCAGAGCTCTCGGAGCCATGGTTGGGGCCCTGCAGCCCCGAGGGTGGTGCCTGCACCTCCAGGGAGAGCAAAGACACCAAAGATGCTCCCAAAAGAGGTGGCTCTGCCTGGCTGGGGAGGGGCTGTGCCGGGGGAACGGTGCACACAGGCCGTGTAGCAGCAGCAGGAAACTCAACGAAATTTAAAAAAATAAAATAAAAAAGGACATTCCCCCCCTTATCCAGAGCCCCCCAAAACGCATCTTGCAAAATGCAAATGTGCCCAAGGCCTCAGAGGGACGACTTGTCCAGCCCTGGACAAGACACCACAGGGTTTTTCGGTCTGAAATAACAGCTCCCCCCTCGGCCCCTTCCCAGCCTGCCCCGGCACCAGCGGGAGAGGGGATGGGAACGGGCACCTCTTGTCTCCCCCTCACCAAGGAAAGCCTCCAACGCCCCGGAACAAACAACACAACCAAACAAAGGGACAAAAAAAACCTCAAAAAAAAAAAAACAAACCAAAGAAACACTGTTATCACCAGCTAATTTAACACTGTTAAAAGGAAGATCAGAGGTCAGCCGGGAGCCGCCCCGGGACACCAGACCTCCGACCCTCGGCCGATTTCCAAAGCCTTCCCCGCAGTCGGGCCTTTGCCAGCGCTCCTCCTCGCAGCAGAAGTGTTTTATAGATATTTATATATATATATTTATAATATTTAGATACTGTGTACGGTCAGACATCCCAGCTCGACTCGGGTTTTTCCGCGGGTCTCCCTCCTTTCCGGACGAAACGAGGCGCGCCACGACATCCCCCGACAAGACACCTTCTCTGCGCCCCTTCCGCGGGAAGAGCAGAAGGTTTTCGGCAGCTTCACCCGGGGGAGAGGGGGGGGGAAAAGTCCCGAGATCCGGAGGCTCTGCGTGGTGGAGAAGCTCCTCAGCCCTTTCTCTCCTCCCCTCCTGTCCATCCCTCGCCCCCACCCCGCCCCTCCGTCCCTGGCGCCGCCGCGGCGTGGGCGTTACACGGTGGCCCCCAGCATGGCGTCTGTCCCCGCCAGGATCTCGTTCTGGTTGGAATCCAGTCCGAAGAACTTGACCTTGAGTCCGTCAACCGGGTGGACCACGGGCACCAGGGTGATTTTGGGGAAAGTCCTGGTGGCGAGCTCGAAGCGGCTGGTGCTGGCCAGCTCGATGGCCAGGGCCTTGAGGAAAAGCTTGGCCAGGTGCTTCCCCAGACAGGTCCGTACTCCTCCTCCGAAGGGGAGGTAGTGGAACCTGCCGTCCTTGTCTTCGCTCCGGCCCTGCTCGAAGCGCTCGGGGTCGAACACGTCCACGTCCTTGAAGACCGGGGCGGTGTCGTGGGTGTCCCGGATGCTGTACATCACACTCCAGCCTTTGGGGATCTGGAAACCCTGTGGAGAGGCGGGAAAGGGGGGGAGAGAAAAGCAGAGTGGGTCAAACTCTACCGTCAGCAGAGAGGGAGCAGAAGGACAAGATAAAGGCGCTTTGTGTTCGTACAATCGGTCGTAGAATCATGGAATGGTTTGGGTTGGAAGGGACCTTAAAGATCATCCAGTTCCACTCCCTGCTGTGGGCAGGGACACCTTCCACTAGCCCAGGTTGCTCCAACCTGGCCCTGGACACTTCCAGGGATCCAGGGGCAGCCACAGCTTGCTCATGTCTAACTGCAAGATCACTCCTTGGCTTTGGACAACCACCATGGGAAGCTTCCCACAAAGCCTCGGAGGATGCTGAGGAGCAGAAAGGCAGGAGAAAAAGCCCTGGGAATGGCTCCTGACAGCACATGATGGACAATTTATGCCCTCACCCTGCTGCAGGGAACAACCTGCTGAGGGCTCACGTGCCCTGCAAAGGAGGAGCCGTGGAAGGGGATGGGGGCAAGGAGTGAAGCTGGTCAGGGCTGAAAGCTTCAGTTGTGCCAGGGGAGGTTCAGGTTGGACATTGGGAACCTGTTCCAGGGCCTCACCACCCTCACAGTTTTCCCTACTTATTCCCATTCCTTTGGGTTTGTTACTCCAACTTGGCGCAGATTTAAAGGAAAACCAGAGAGCGCAGCACAAAGGGCTTGGAGATGGGATGGGAATCCTGGATTTACTCCTCCCTCTATCCCAGGGACCCACGGTATGATCTACTGCTATTTATTGCTTTGTGGTCACTGGCAGGAGTCTCCTACCAGGAGCCCCCAAGCAGAGGGAAGTAGCTTCTCCCACATCCACGCCGTGCCCCACGTGCCAACCAGCCCTCCCAGAGCACCCCAGAGCATCCCACACCCCGCTGCCTGTCAGCCCCACACACCCAACACTCATGTCAGGGCCTGGGCGATGAGAACCGGGGCGGATTTATCATCCCCTGAGCACTTTGAAGGGTTTCTGACTCAAATCGCTGCCTTAGGAGGATTTACAGCGACGAGCCCGGCCTGAAGGTTTTGTTTTGCTGGTAGGAAATTCCAGCCACGGTGGTGAGTAATCCCCCTGTCATCCAGCAGCCTGGAGATGCCCTTTGCAGTAAACCTTTCCCTTGTCACACCCCAGCTGGGATTTTGGCGTCAAACACTTGTCATGGGTCGAGCTTTGAAGCCTCACACCCGTCCCCTCCTTCCCTGCCATGAGCCAGATTCCTGAGGAATCCAGGGCAAATCCATCTCCCATCACTAGCAGGGCCTAATTTAACCTCTCTGAGGTCTCATCTAAGCCAGGCTCAAGTAAGATTTCCAACAAGTGAAAGGTTGGTTTGGGGAGCTCACGGTGCAGCTGCACTCCAGAGGGATCCCAGAATCCCAGAATGTACTGAGCTGGAAGGGACCCACAAGGATCAGCCAGTCCAACCCTCAGCCCTGCACAGGCCCAGCCCCAAGAGTCCCCCCCTGTGCCCCAGAGGATCAGCCAAACGTGTCCTGCACAGCTCAAAGAGCACATGTAAGAGGAGGACAATCCCAGCCCTGCCTTGTCCTGGTCAGGAATGTCTCCACCATCCTGGCTAAGCTGATTTTCCAACCTGTTTTGCTGGTCAGTACCTCACTACTCCTCTACAAATAAAAGGACCATGAACACACGAGTGGAGGCGTCTCCTTCCTCCCAGCTCAGCCCAGCCAGGATTTCACAGATCCCAGAACATCCTGAGCTGGAAGGGACCCCCAAGGACCATCCAGTCCAACCCTCAGCCCTGCACAGGCCCAGCCCCAGGAGTCCCCCCTGTGCCCCAGAGGATCAGCCAAACCCTCCTGGAGCTCTGGCAGCCTTGGGGCTGTGCCCACTGCCCTGGGGAGCCTGGGCAGTGCCCAACCAGCCTCTGGGGGAAGAACCTTTGCCTGAGATCCAACCCGAGCCTGCCCTGGCACAGCTCCAGCCCTTCCCTGGGTGCTGTCCCTGGTCCCCAGAGCAGAGCTCAGTCCCTGCCCCTCGTGTCCCTCAGCACTCACATCCAGCTCGAAGGTCTGCAGCACCGTCCGGTACCCGCCGGAGATGGGGGTGAAGAGCCGAAGCACCTCCTTGATGACACAGTCCAGGTAGTGGAGGCTGCTGATGTTGTCGAGCCGCAGGGAGCCCTCGCAGATGCAGCCGTTGTGGAGGATCCCTTTGCTCCTGAGCTCCTCCCGCAGCTTCTCCAGCACTCGGGGGTGTTTGAGGAGCTGCATGATGAGGGAGGTGCTGGCGCTGGCCGTGGTGGCGTAGGCGGCGAAGATCAGCTCCAGGGTGCCATCCTGGGAGACAAGGGAAGAGCCAGGGTGAGAGCCAGGGCGTGGACAGGTAGGGCAGCGTCCATGGAATGTCAAGGGTCAGGCACAGAGGCTGCCACAGGGCATCTTAATACTCAACAGCTCTCCAGCCTGGGCATTGAACCATAGATGGTTTGGGTAGGAAGGACCTTAAAGATCATCTCTTTCCATGCCCCTGCCACGGGTAGGGACATCTTCCACTAGCCCAGGTTGCTCCAAGCCCTGTCCAACCCGGCCTTGGACACTTCCAGCAATGGGGCAGCCACAACATCTCCCAAAAAACAGCCGCTCAACCAAGGATTTAAGGTCCAAGGGGGCCAAGTTACCTCATGAGGGTACAATCAGTCACAGTCACAGAATCATGGAATGGTTTGGATCAGAAAGGACCTCAAAGATCATCCAGTCCCACCCCCTGTCGTGGGCAGGGACACCTTCCACTAGCCCAGGTTGCTCCAAGACCTGTCCAGCCTGGCCTTGGACACTTCCAGGGATCCAGGAGCAGCCACAGCTTGCTCATGTCTAACTGCAAGATCACTCCTTGGGCAGGGTCAGGGCTGGGAAAACCACCATGGGAAGCTTCCCAGAAAGCCTCAGAGGATGCTGAGGAGCAGACAGAATGGAGAAAAAGCCCTGAGGATGGATCTTGACAGCACATCATGGACAATTTATGCCCTGACCCTGCTGCAGGGAACAACCTGCTGAGGGCTCACGTGCCCTGCAAAGGAGGCACCGTGGAAGGGAATGGGGGCAAGGGGTGAAGCTGGTCAGGGCTGAAAGTTTCAGTTGTGCCAGGAGAGGTTCAGGTTGGACATCAGGAAAAATTTCTTCACTGGAAGAGAAGAGTGGCCAAGCACTGGAAAAGGCTGCCCAGGGCAGTGGTGGAGTCACCAACCCTGGAAGTGTTCAAAACCCAAACCATCTCATGATATTGGTTTGGTGGGGATGGGGGTGTTGGGTCACAGGTTGGACTCGATGACCTCAGAAGTCTTTTCCAACCTTCATGATCCCACAATTCTACGAAATGCTTTCTAGAAAGGGCTGAGCACAACCTGCAAATGGAACAACTGGGTTTGTCGGCACCATAATCCACCAGACCAGGATTCACCTGCAGCTCCACCGACACATCGTGATCCCCTGACCATCCCAGGCCTGCCCCAAAAATTCCTCCCTGGAGCAGCTCAGCCTTGCTCTTGGGGGAGCCCCCGAGCACAGCAAGGTGTCCACGGGGAGATCTTTACCTTCAGCTCCTGCATGGTCAACTCCTTCCCGTGCTCTTTCCCGCTCTCTATCAGGATGTCCAAGGCATCGGCGTAGTCCTTGCCCTGCGTGTTCTGCAGTTTCTCCTGGATGGCTTTTTCCAGCCCCTTCTGCAGCGTCTCCCGTGCCCGGATTCCCTGTGGAGCAGGAAACCATCAGCCCACGCCAGCACCACCAGCACCATCCCCAGGACAACGTGGCTGAGTAATAAAAGTGCGATTGCAGACGCTCAAAGAGGAGCATAAAGACGCTGAGGTGGTTCCCTGGGCAGGAGGAGTAAAGCCCGAGGAGCTGAGATTACAGGCAGGAGTAATCAGCACCTAGGTGTAAATGACAGGTCTGCTGTGGGAGCCCCAGTGCTGCACCAGTTCACAGGCCCCTGGCTCGCCCTGGGATGCGTGGCAGCCCCTGGGAAAATTGCCTCTCAAAGGAAAGCCAATTCATCCCAAAGGGTCCTCTTCCCCAGGAGCATAATGGTCTTCCCAAGCAGTTTTATCACCTGGTCCCAGTAAAGCAATTCCTATGGGAGTGCAGCTGCACTGGGTTAACCTGCTCCTGCAAGTGCTTCAGGGCTTGCAAGTGCTTGGGCTCATCCACGTGGTCAAATATCAGCGGAAAAAAAAAAATTGCAGTGATATCACAGAAATAAATTTGAACCTCCCCGGAATTTCTGTTGCCAAAATTCCCCGTGAAAAAAAAAATTAAAAAGGTTTTGGTTTTTTGGTTTTTTTGTTTTTTTTTTTTTGGTCTGTGATTTTTGGTATGTCTTCATTCTGCATCATCCATCAAAAAACTAGAGTGGTTCTCGGAATTAGAAGGTCTGCTGAGCTGCAGGGACAGGGTGGGAATTAAAAGGAGAAGGGTCCCACAAACTACAAAAATGCGGGAAAATCGCCGAGCGAGATAAAAATACACTCGAATAAAATAAAAAATGAATAAAAATTCAATTTGGGCGAGTCCTGATTGTATTCTGCAACAAACCACTCAATGGACGGATCTTTTTCTCGCTTCTCCACCAAACCCCAAAACGGACTCATCCCTAGAGGTCGGAGGGCGAGGAGAACCCGGAGAGGGGCGGATCAACCACCACCCCCTTAACCCCAGATTGGTGGGGGACCCATCCCCGATCTCTCACCCTCCTGTAGCCACTGAAGGGCAGGTCCACGGGCAGGGAGAAGACGTTCTCCACGAACTGCTGGTAGACCTCGAAGAGGCGGCCGAGCTCCTCGTCGGGGATGCGGAAGCCCAGCAGGACGCGGATGGCCATGCGGAACGTCAGCTTCTGCGCCTCGTGGTACACGTTGATGGGCTCGGGGTTGCTGCTCCAGGCACGGAGGGTGTCCTTGATCACCAGCTGGATCTTGGGGAGGTAACTCTCCAGCGCCTCGTGGCTGAAGATTTTGGAGAAAACCTACGGAAAAGGGAGCGAGGAGAGGGTTTTTTTTACAGCGACCCGGGGCACCCCAAAAAACGTCCTGTGCTTGTCATCAGCCAGAACTCATCACCCAGGATCATCAATTCCCAAAAAAAAGTCTGTCAAAAAATAGAGCCGATGGAGAAACATCAGCTGCCAGATCCTCCAGAGATCCTCACCAGAGCCACCACAAACGTTGGGCAACAACGGAGCAAACCAGAGAGGGGAGGGAAAAGTGGATGGATAGAGCTGGTTTTTCCCACAGCTCCACGTCTCCCAGATCCCAGTGATATCCATCCCATGATTCGGGTGCTACTAAAACATCTCTCCCCTGGGGATTCTCCTGTCTGACAAACACAGGCTTTTCTCTCCCCATTGATTCCTCCCGCCCATCGACCGCCTTCTAAACGGATGCAAAATTAAGTAAACTAATTATCCCGCAGCTTTTGGGATCCCTGTGGAATCTGGCTGAACTCAGCCCCGGGGCTCAGGCGGCGAGGAGGGACACGCACGTACGCAGAGGCTGCGCTCGCACCCGGCCTCGGTTTCCTTGGGAATCCGGGGGAAAAAAAAAAAAAGAACCCCTGATGTCAGCAGACAGCATTAATTTAAGCTCTGCGAGTAAACACTGAGCAGCAACGGGCCTCCCCAGGTCCCCGACGCTCACGGCTCCTTCCTCCAATTCCTCCAATTTGGGCCCGGGCCCACGCGTTGCACGAGGAGCTCAGCAATGCCAGGAATGTCCCTTCCCACAGCACGCGCTTTCATCGGCATTCCCGCCGCATCCCTCCCGGAGAGCACCGGAGGGAAAAAAAGTGCTGTTTGTTTGTTTTTCGTTAACCTACACACTCACACACACACACTTGACACACAGACACACACACACGGGGCAGGACGCACACGCAGCGCCGCATGCCAGGCCTCCGGGAAAATCAAATTAAAGCAGGATTCCAGGAGGGAGCTTCCAGCGGGGTGGCCGGGTCCCCCCGGAGAGCAGGGAGGGGGGGGGGGGGGAAGCTCAAGGCGAGGGGGGGGGGCTGCAAAGTTATCAACCCGACGAGGGGAGCGAAATCAAAGCCGCCCCCTCTTTTCCATGAGCGTCGGACTCGCCGGAGCTGTAAATGTGAGAATTTCCTCCACAGTCAGCACTCAAAGGGAAAGGTAATATTTTCCTGGCTGCGACCCCTCATTGCTAATGCACGGGCGGTTCGCCGGGAGTTTGTTTGGTGAAATAACAGCCCCGTCCCCCCTCGCAGCCCCGCGCCGGAGGCTCCACAAGAGCCGCTTCACGGCGCTCCGGGGCTCGGGCTGAGCCCCGAGGAAAAGCTCCCCGCGGAAAAATCCCGGCCAACAACGGGGGCGGTGGGGGGAGGAAAAAAAAACTCCCGGAGCCCGAGAGGCCGCAGACAGATGCCGTGCCCGGATGGCCACGGCGAGCCAAGGCATGAATGAAACGGAGCGGGGATGAATGAACCGAGTGAATGAACAGCGGGGCGGCGAGAGCACGGCGGGGCCGCGAGACGGGGCGGCCGCCGCCGCCTCCCCGCGCTCCTCCAGCTATTTTTAAAGCCTGGAAAGGGCAAGCGGTGCTCGGGCTGAGGCGCTGGAAAAGCAGCCGCTCGGGAAAGGAAAGCCGGAGGTGCTAAAGCTGAGCCCGCTCCGTTGTTGGAGGTGGGGGGGAAGGTGTGGAGGGAGCCGGGAAAGGGATGGATCCTGGAGGACCCGAGCGGGACGCCGGGCTTTGGTGCAGCGGGAGAGCTGGGACAGAGCTGCTCAGAGGGGCTGGTGAAAGGACGTGGGTATTGCCCCATCTGGCTGGCATTGCCCTGTATCCCTGCTGAGGAGTTGGGACAAGGACAGAGGCTCCCAGTGAATCGCCCCACGCTCCCCAAATGCTTCCCGGGACTCCGTTTCCCCAGCTGATGAGAGGGCAGTCTCTGCTTTGGCAGTGCCAAGGCTGCAGTGGAGCCACCATCCTGCTGGAGGTGGCCCTTGGGGTTCCTGACCTCGTCCTTCCTGGCACTGCCACAGTGTTTGGGGAACCCCTGCACCCTGAAAAAAAGGACAAGTCTCTGGTCCCAGGCTACCAAACTGCTGCTGTGGCATAGAGAACAATCCCAGGGATGGATTCACACCCTCCAGACCCTCAGAAGAGGAGAGAGTCTGCCCCAGGGACGGATGTGCAGCGAGGACACAGCCTGGAAGAGAAGACCGGGCCCCGACCGAGGCCAACACAACACCTGCCCAGCCCGAAAAAGGGGGAGCACTCAACGCTGGGAGGCTGAGGCGGATTTTTTTTTTTTCCCTTTTCTCGCTCTTTTCCCAGCTCTCCTTCTGCCACGAGGCTCCTCCAGCTGGCTGCACCCCACGTCTGCCCGAGCCCGAAGCTCCCGGCCACGCTCGACGTCCCGTCCGCTCGCCGCCGCCGCGCTCCACGCCGCCTAATCCCACATGTCAGCAGATCCTTCCCCGGCCAGACACAAGTCTGGATCCCCTTCCAGTCACCTCCAGTTCAACCCTGCATCTTTCCAGTTGATTAAAAAGGAGGAAGAGGCGGCCAACTTTTTTTCTTTCCCCGACGAACCTCCCCGCCGCGCGCGCGTTTTTCCCAAGCCTACAATTCCTGCGCCCTCTAGTGAGGCCGAGCCGAGCTCCTCCTCGGCTGCTCGCGGGAGAGAAACCGGGCAGAGCCAAGGGGAACCGAGGCAAAAAAAAATAAAGAGTCGTTCCAGCGCTGCCAAGAGGCAAAATCATCTCTGAGGGGATGCTCAGCTTTGTTAACACCGAGATGCGGCCGCGGCGGCCGCTCGGCCACGGGGACTCGCAGCAGTGCCAGGGCGGTAGCCAGGACTTTTTGGGGATGTTGGAAGGAGCCCCCGGTTTTTTTTCACGCTGTGATACCTCCCAAAAGAGCCAAATCTGGGGATTTGGTCTGTCCAAGGGTATTTATTCGCGCTGCACACCCTGCTCTGAGGGAGACACCACCACCCAGCGAGCCTGGCTGGAACCTTCCGA